GTCTAAGTCCATAACTATTTCTTGTATGTATTTGACCCGACCCGGCATGGTCCATTTGGGTTGCATGGCATCATGCATTTGGATAGACTAAATGAGAGAAATAACACTTGTGGTTTATTAATATATTATAAGTTCTAATATATTAATAGTATTATTTAATTAGTATTGATCAAGAATTAAATTTGGAATTAATTAAGTGATCAAAAGAAGACTAATTAAATATATGGGTTGATTATGTAAATCATCCATAACTTGTATAGAGGGCTAAAGGCTTCATGGATTATCAAGATGGGCTAAGACCCATAGGATGCTCCATGGATGCTCCATGGGAGTTACAAACCCGTGGGTCATGGAAATGAAGAGTCATGTTAAATTAGGGTTTACATGGTGTAACCCTAATTGTAACACACTATATAAGAACCCTTATGTTCACCAAAATCGGCGACACTAAGAAATAGAGCGGGCAAGCCGAATTTAGAAGTGTTCTACATTATCTCAAAGTCATTCCAAAGCACTTGGTGTTGTGTGAAACATTTGAGGCATCACACTTGGGGTGCTAGGCTCTCAAGGTTTTTCAAGGAATCAAATCAACTACAAGGTATGTAATTGTAGCTATCTTTTATGTTAAAAGTTTCGCATGTATGCTAGATAGGATTATGAACCTTGGAAAAAGTATTTTGCATGTATTTTAGACAAACATAGATCCAAGGTTTTCTAGGGTTGCATGTACAAGGAGTGTTAGAATGCTCAAAACCCATCATCATATACAAATGAAGCATAGTTAAAATACTATAGGAGTATTTTATGGTTCTATAACACTGCATAGAGTTATCGCTAGTAGTACAAATCCTCATAAATGAAAGACCTGCAATTCCTTGTTTATGTTAGTAAACCTTTATTGTAGATCTCTATTATCGCTGTAGGATTTAGTTATATCTTGCTCGAAAATATCCGATTCTTGATCAGTATAGAAGGCTTATCGTCATTTTCCCCTTGTATCTTTTATAGAAGGATGCCTCCCAGGAAGAGACCCAACAGAAAAAGCAAGAACCCTCCGACAGATCCTCAGCCACCACCTCCTCAGTTCGATCCTGCCATGTTCCAGGCAGCAGTTACAGCCGTTGTGGCTGCCACGATGGCACAAATAAATTCTGGTGGCTCTAGTGGATCAGGAAGTGGTACCCATCCCCAAAATCTTGAGGGTGGTCAGGGACACCCGAAGGAGTGTTCCTACAAAGATTTCATGAATGCGAAGCCCAAATCCTTCGACTGCAATGGAGGAGTCATTGCCCTAACCCGGTGGTTCGAGAAGATCGAATCGATTTTCGAGATTTGTGCTTGTTCTGAGGCCAGCAAGGTGAAGTTTGCCGCATGCACCTTCACCGATAGAGCATTGAATTGGTGGAATAGCTGGGTCAAATCCCTAACGATAGAAGTAGTCTATGTAATTTAGTAAAGCTATGGTGAGCAATTCTTGGGTTCTACAATAGAAGTAGTCTATGTAATTTAGCAAATCTTTGATGAGCATTGTTTAATTCTTGAGTTCCACAATAGAAGTCTATGCAATTTAGCAAAGCTTTGATGAGCATTGTTTAATTCTTGATTTCGACAATAGATGTAGTCTATGCAATTTTGCAAAGCTTTGATGAGCATTGTTTAATTCTTGAGTTCCACAATAGAGTTCTATGCAATTTAGCAAAGCTTTGATGAGCATTGTTTAATTCTTGAGTTATACAATAGAAGTAGTCTGTGTAAATTAGCAAAGCTTTGATGAGCACTGTTTAATTCTTGAGTTCCACAATAGAACTCTATGCAATTTAGCAAAGCTTTGATGAGCTTTGTTTAATTCTTGTGTCCCACAATATAAGTCTATGCAATTTGGCAAAGCTTTGATGAGCACTTTTTAATTCTTGGGTTCTACAATAGAAGTAGTATATGCAATTTAGCAAAGCTTCGATGAGCATTGTTTAATTCTTGAGATCCACAATAGAAGTCTATGCAATTTAGAAAAGCTTTGATGAGCAGTTTTTTATTCTTGAGTTCCACGACAGAAGTCTATGCAATTTAGCAAAGCTTTGATGAGCTTTGTTTAATTCTTGAATTCCACAATAGAAGTCTATGCAATTTAGCAAAGCTTTAATGAGCATTATTTACTTTTTGAGTTCTACAATAGAAGTCGTCTACGCAATTTAGCAAAGCTTTGATGAGCATTGTTTAACTCATAAGTTCCACAATAGAAGTCTATGCAATTTAGCAAAGCTTTGATGAGCATTGTTTAATTCATGAGTTCTACAACCGAAGTAGTCTATGCAATTTAGCAAAGCTTTAATAAGCATTGTTTAATTCTTAAGTTCCACAATAGAAGTCTATACAATTTAGCAAAGCTTTGATGAGCTTCGTTTAATTTTTGTGTCCCGAAATAGAAGTCTATGCTATTTAGCAAAGCTTTGACGAGCATTGTTTAATTCTTGGGTTTTACAATAGAAGTAGTCTATGCAATTTAGCAAAGCTTTGATGAGCATTGTTTAATTCTTTAGTTCCACAAAAGAAGTAGTCTATGCAATTTAGCAAAGCTTTGACGAGCACTGTTTAATTCTTTTGTTCCAAAATAGAAGTCTATGCAATTTAGCAAAGCTTTGATGAGCGTTGTTTAATTGTTGAGTTCTACAATAGAAGTCTATGCAATTTAGCAAAGCTTTGACGAGCATTTTTTTGTTTTTGAGTTCCACAATAGAAGTCTATGATATTTAGCAAAGCTTTGAGAAGCATTGTTTGAATCTTGAGTTCCACAACAGAAGTAGTCTTTGCAATTTAGCAAAGCTTTGATGAGCATTGTTTAATTCTTGAATTCCACAATAGAAATCTATGCAATTTAGTAAAGTTTTGATGAGCTTCATTTAATTCTTGTCTACCACAATAGAAGTATATGCAATTTAGCAAAGCTATGATGAGCGTTGTCTAATTCTTGGGTTCTACAATAGAATTAGTCTATGTGATTTAGCGAAGCTTTGATGAAGATTGTTTAATTCTTGAGTTCCACAATAGAAGTCTATGCAATTTAGCAAAGCTTTGATGAGCATTATTTAATTGTTGAGTTCAACAATAGAAGTCTATGCAATTTAGCAAAGCTTTCATGAGAATTGTTTACTTTTTGAGTTCTACAATAGAATTAGTCTATGAAATTTAGCAAAGCTTTGATGAACATTGCATATTTTTTTTTGAAAGATCCAAAGCTCAGCAAACTTTATTAAAAAGAATAAAAGAATACAAAAACAAACGGAAATAAAATAGTCAAACAAAATACAAATCTAACCAACCTATCCATAACCAACTACCAAGCCACTTTTTAATAACTAGACTTAACCACCCAAAAACCCAAAAAACCTTATTATCCTTAAAGCTAGCCCAAAGACTTATTGAAAGTGGGAAAAAAGGTAACTTCACCCCCTTGCACCACCAAAATCCCCAAAGATCATTAATACCTAAGCAAGGGGTAAGGCCCTTAAAAAAACCCACAGTCCGAAGGCCAAGCCTTAAGAAAAAACCCAACAAAACCACAATACTCCCTACACAATACATAACATAGAACCAATAAAAGATAACACAATTATAACACTCATAATTGCAACTATAAAAAAACCCCATCAATTTATCAATCCCACATCTTCTGTCACTTCTCCTCTCAACAATCCTCCACTTAGTCTTCAACAGAAAAGACTCCATCTGCTTGCAAACATGATCCAAACCCGACCTTTGCAAAAAATTCCTGCATATCAAGCACAAGCCAAACCACAACAAACTAACACCAAAACTCCAATAAATCAGAACAAGTTTCATACTAGACATGGCATCAATCACATGTCTAGGATTCTCCATTTGGATAATCTCAATAAAGATCATATCCAAACAGAAAATCCCATAGGTACAAGTCACATGATTTGAGAGCAAACTCTCAAACCAGTAACACAATCCGTCAATTCCTTTGTAAAGAAACTTATTCCAAAAATGCCCCCACAAATCCACAGCATTAAGATCACCAAAGTTAAACATCCTTCTATGCCAACCCCAAAACCAATAGCCACCAACCAACAAACTAAAAAACCAGAAAATAGCATCCATTACTTAAACTTTTTCCATTCTAGAAATACCCCAGGCCTTAAAAACTTTATCATTGACCATCTTAGCCTTTTTCCTCAACCCCAACAGCATTAAATGTATTTCACTTTCAATACAAGCAATCAGCCCCTTATACGAATTTCTCCTGTTACTAAATAGTCTAGAATTTCTCTCCTTCCAAATATGTGCAACACAACTAGCAAAAACACATTTATTAACCAAAATTCTCACCAGAATTCCTTTTAAACAAACTGCACAGCTTCATAATCAATTCATTCCAATCATCCATAAAAAGATTAAGACCCATCTTATTACAAAAATACCTCCAAATAAGTTGAGAATAATCACATTTAAAGAAGAGATGAACATGTGAATTAGGAGTAACAGCACAAAAAGGACAAAGTAAGTTACCAGAAACTTCCCAACCTCTGACACGATCCTGGGTCTTCAATCTATTCAAAATAGCCATCCAAAAAATAAACAAATTTCGAGGAATGCAATTACCATACCAAACAATATCATGCCAAGGAACTTGGTCTCCAAAATTATTTATATCGCACCACACCTGTTTGCATGAAAATTGTTTACATATTCCTTTCTTATCTCTCCAACCTGCAACATCCCTCAGATTAGGCTCAATACAAAACATGGGAGCATCCTTCAATCCAGGGAATATATTAACCCACTCAACCGGCCAAGTATAGCAATCATAGACTAGAACATCACTGACCAAGGAAGAATCACTAAACCCATTGCTAACCCAATCTCTTCTAGATATAATAGAACATAAAATACCAATTGGGTGCCACCAATCATGCCAGATAGAAGTATTCATCCCGTTTCCCACACACGAAACAACATGGGGCCTAACAATTTTTCTCACCTCAAGGAACCTCTTCCAAGTCCAGCTCATACTCTTCTTCTGCAAAATATCCCAAAAATTCCTGTTTCCAATGTAATTGGATTTCACCCACTGAACCCACAGAGAATTTTTGCTATTAATCACATTCCACACATGTTTAGCTAACAAAGCATCATTCCATTTCCTTAAATTCTTCACTCCTAAACCACCATCGGCTTACAAATATCATTCCACTTGACTTTAGCTTTCCCTTTGACTACCTCACCATTCGCCCACAAGAAACTTCTACAAAGCTTTTCAATCTCTTTAATAGTAGCAATGGGAATTTTAAAAATCGAAGCCCAATACACATGAATAGATGTCAAAACAGAATTAATGAGCTGCAGCCTTCCAGCAAACGATAAAGCCTTGCTTTTCCAATTGAAAATTCTCATCTTAATCTTCTCAATAAGCTGTTTACAATCTCTGTCAAATAATTTTGTAACACACATAGGAATTCCCAAATACTTAAAAGGAAATCTCCCAATATCAAAAGGAAGAATGCCCAAGATAATCCTTCTCATATTGGGTTTAACACAACTGAAAAAAATCTGGCTTTTTTCCATGCTCACCTTCAACCCTGAAACTTTTTTGAACTCATCAAGAGCATCCCTTATAACTCTAGCAGAATTCCAATTTCCATAAGAAAAAACTAACAAATCATCAGCAAAGCATAAATGAGTAATTTTAAGGGACATACACTTACTATGAAATTTAAAATTCTGGCCAGCTTCAATTTTCTTCAAAAGGATGATATTAAACACCTCCATAACTATAGTAAATAGGTAAGGAGATAGAGGATCACCCTGCCTAAGACCCCTCTTTCCTTCAAAATACCCATGATCTTCACCATTAAAGTTAAGCATGAACCAAGGAGTAGAAACACAAGCCATAATCCACTGAATCATTATCGTATGAAAACCAAACCCCTGCAGAATTCTACTAAGAAAATTCCAATCCACCGTATCATATGCCTTTTGAATATCAATCTTTATGGTGCATTTGGGAACTCCCCTCTTATTTTTATACCCCACCATCAGCTCCTGAGCAAGGAGAATATTATCCACAATAGATCTTCCAGGAATGAAAGCTGATTGATTTTTACTCACAATATCACCCAAACTATTTCTAATTCTGTTCACTATAATCTTACTAATACACTTATATAAAGTATTACAGCAGGCTATAGGACGGAAATCAGAAACTTTGACGAGCATTGCTTAGTTCTTGAGTTCCACAATAGAAGTTATCTTGCAATTTAGGAAAGCTTTGATGAGAATTGTTTAATTCTTGGATTCCACAATAGAAATCTATGCAATTTAGTAAAGCTTTGATGAGCTTCGTTTAATTCTTGTGTACCATAATAGAAGTATATGCAATTTAGCAAAGCTATGATGAGCATTGTCTAATTCTTGGGTTCTACAATAGAATTAGTCTATGTGATTTAGCAAAGCTTTGATGAACATTGTTTAATTCTTGAGTTCCACAATAGAAGTCTATGCAATTTAGCAAAGCTTTGATGAGCATTATTTAATTCTTGAGTTCCACAATAGAAGTCTATGCAATTTACCAAAGCTTTCAAGAGCATTGTTTACTTTTTGAGTTCTACAATAGAATAAGTCTATGAAATTTAGCAAAGCTTTGATGAGCATTGCGTAATTCATGATTTCCACAATAGAAGTCTATCCAATTAAGCAAAGTTTTTATGAGCATTATTTAATTCTTAAGTTCCACAATAGAAGTAGTCTATGCAATTTAGGAAAGCTTTGATGAGCATTGTTTAATTGTTGAATTCCATAATAGAAGTCTACGAAATTTAGCAAAGCTTTGATGAGCTTTGTTTAATTCTTGTGTCCCACAATAGAAGTCTATGCAATTTAGCAAAGCTTTGATGAGCATTGTTTAATTCTTTAGTTCCATAATCGAAGTAGTCTATGCAATTTAGCAAAGCTTTGACGAGCATTGTTTAATTCCTGAGTTGCAAAATAGAATTCTATGTAATTTAGCAAAGCTTTAATGAGCATTGTTTAATCGTTGAGTTCTACATTAGAAGTCTATGCAATTTAGCAAAGCTTTGAGGATATTTAGTTTTTGAGTTCCACAATAAAAGTCTATGCAATTTAGCAAATCTTTGATGAGCATTGTTTAATTCTTGAGTTCCACAATAGAATTCTATGCAATTTAGCAAAGCTTTGATGAGCTTTGTTTAATTCTTGAGTTCCACATTAGTAGGCTATGCAATTTAGCAAAGCCTTGAGGAGCAATCTTTAATTCTTTAGTTCCACAATAGAAGTCTATGCAATTTAGCACAACTTTGATGAGCATTGTTAAATTCTTGAGTTCTACAAAAGAATTAGTCTATGTAAATTAGCAAAGCTTTGATGATCATTATTTAATTCTACTGTTCCACAATAGAAGTCTACGCAATTTAGCAAAGCTTTGATGAGCTTCGTTTAATTCTTGTGTCCCACAATATAAGTCTATGCAATTTAGCAAAGCTTTGATGAGCATTGTTTAATTCTTGGGTTTTACAGTTGAAGTAGTCTATGGAATTTAGAAAAGCTTTGATGAACATTGTTTAATTCTTGAATTACACAATAGAAGTCTATATAATTTAGCAAAGCTTTGATGAGCATTGTTTAATTCTTGAGTTCTACAATAGAAGTAGTCTATGTAAATTAGCAAAGTTTTGATGAGCATTGTTTAATTCTTGAGTTCCACAATAGAAGTCTACGCAATTTAGCAAAGTTTTGATGAGCTTCGTTTAATTCTTGTGTCCCAGAATATAAGTCTATGCTATTTAGCAAAGCTTTGATGAGCATTGTTTAATTCTTGGGTTCTACAATAGAAGTAGTCCATGCAATTTAGTAAAGCTTTGATGAGCATTCTTTTATTATTGAGTTCCACAAAAGAAGTCTATGCAATTTAGCAAAGCTTTGATGAGCATTGTTTTATTCTTGAGTTCCACAATAGAAGTCTATGCAATTTAGCAAAACTTTGATGAGCTTTGTTTAATTCTTGAGTTCCACATTAGAAGTATATGAAATTTAGCAAAGCTTTAACGAGCATTGTTTACTTTTTGAGTTCTATAATAGAAGTAGTCTATGCAGTTTAGCAAAGCTTTGATGAGCATTGTTTAATTCTTGAGTTCCACAATAGAAGTCTATGCAATTTAGCAAAGCTTTGATGAGCATTGTTTAATCCTTGAGTTCTACAATAAAAGTAGTCTATGCAATTTAGGAAAGCTTTGATGAGCATTGTTTAATTCTTGAGTTTCACAATAGAAGTCTATGCAATTTAGCAAAGCTTTGATGAGCTTCCTTTAATTATTGTAACCCTGAATAGAAGTCTATGCTATTTAGCAAAGCTTTGATGAGGATAGTTTAATTATTAGGTTCTATAATAGAAGTTGTCTATGAAATTTAGCAAAGCTTTGAAGAGCATTATTTATTTCTTGAGTTCCCCAATAGAAGTTTTTGCAATTTATGTGACAACCCGAAATTTCCATCTTGTACTATTATCCAAATCAAGCAAAGCCAGACTCGTTTCTGTCACTTCTAGCCTTGTTTGGAGTCATTTGGATGTTCTAAACCTAGTAGCTTCAAGTTAGAAGTGTGGATTTGAGTCCCGCAAGCTCACCCGACACAAAAAGTGGCCAAACACTCCAACTCGAAGAGTGTACGGCCGTACACTTGGGCGTGCGGCCGCACACCCCTCCTCCGGCAGCACACTCTCGTCTGGCAGCACACTCATGCCTTGAAGATAGAGTCTTGGCTTTCATTCAATCCTTTTCACCCTCCTAAGGCAAGAACTCGTTTTCTCTCAAGTAACTCCCGATTTTTCAGCTAGATCTTCAAGTGGTAAGTGTTCTATCCTTTGATTTGTTGATTCCTTACTCCATCTAGTGTAAATCACTGATTTCATCCATGAAATCACTCCATTTTAGTAGATCTTCAAGTGTTCTTTAGTTTCACCAAGAACATCAAGAATACCTACTAAGTTCTTGGGCTCCAAACACCCATATACGCTTCTACATTGTAAGTACCCTACTCCTACATGTGTTTAGATATATTGGAGCCTTAGTAAATGTCCAGAACTCGATCTTCAAGGAGTGTGCGGCCGCACACATTCATGTGGCCGTACACCCCTTATTTTAGTGCTTTAAGGCCTCAAACTCAACTAGTGTGCTAGCAAACGATTAAACACACTTAAGGGATACAAGATATAACCTTGAAAACATGTTTTTGACCATTTTCCCTAGGAGTGTGCGGCCGCACACTCCCTGATTGCACACACCTGGCCGCACACCCAATGGGCAGCACACCAGGTGGCCGCACACGACCCTGTACGGCCGTACACCCACTTCAGAAGACTTTTGATGCTTCTAACACTTTAATCTAAGTGTTTTCTAAGTCCTGGAGTGTTTTCCTTTCATGATTAGTGGTATATAGACTAATTATATTCATATTTATGCCAATATATGCTCATTAGGATCCGTTGTGCACAAGTCTTCACTTGACAATTAGCATCCTATACCATCCGTTCATCCGAACCACTCACTACAGGTGAGTTCATACCCCTTAATCAACCTTTGAAATGATTTTAAATGCTTTTATGGGGGGGGGGGGAATACAAGTTGAAGCATTCTAGTTATTGCATTAATCATATGTGATTAATAACTAGAATAAACAGGAAGATTTTCTATTACGTTCAAATGGTTATCAAACTTATGGATTTCAAACACTTCAAAACATTTTATTAAACTCTTTTAAATGCAAAATCCTTTATCAAACTCTTTTAAACTTACATTATTGTCAAACTCATATCTATACAGATATATTTATATAAGTAAGGTTTGAAGGACTTAGGACTGATAGCTCACTTTATTTCTTGTTCCTTGTTTGGTTGTGGACTTAGGGTATCTTGTTATTTGTCCGAATGTCGTTGAAACCTTAATTATATATCTTATATATGTGTTAGGATATAAAAGCTTTCACTTCAGTTCAGTACCTTTGGGTAGCAAAGGAATACACACAACAGTACTAGTTAGCTATAATAGGTATAGTTAAGACATCACTACCCACTATTACTATTACAACGACACATACAAGAGTCAGTACAATTACGAGTCATTACATACATACTATAATGAGAAACAATACATACTATACACTATATAAGAGAACATACTATACATTATACAAGAGGATATACTATACACTACTGCAGAGAAAACATTTCTACACTATTACATACTATACAAACATTTGAATACGATAATCAGAATGTGACATACTACTGTTGTATCACTTTGTAACCAGAGTCTCCTGGAGGGAGAGCGGACATTGTGTGTATAGATCTATACGGGACAGACACTCCCACACCCCGACTGCTAGCTACAGTCCCAGCCGACAAGGCCAAGGGGTGACAGAATGTTACCTCACTACATATGACACCGGAGGGTCATCAGTTATTCAGTCGTCGATCAGCATGGTTACATACGAGTTCACATTTAAGCCTTTAATTAACCGACTAAGAATTAAAGGAAAACAGACTCCCCGAGGTGTATTGTACATTTAATACTACCCGGAGTCTGCATTTTTATCACTTTATAGCCAGCAGTGACACTGCTGAGGTAAAACATTATTTTCCCCTACTACATTTAATTGTAATCATCTCACATAAACGATGACTTAAACTATATTTTTATAATAATAGTTTCACTGGGAAAAACTCTTACATTTACAAAAGAACAAACATACAAATGGTCGGGTCTTGGTACAAGACTACATTTCGGTAGAAAATATAGGATTTTCTAGGGAGTTCAACCATTTCCAAACATTTGCAGACAATTACGAACATTTACACTACGTGGTTATAAACATTTTCATACAAGAAATGACACTAAATACTTATGAACTCACCAGCCTTAATGCTGATAAACTCTTTCAAAATAACTTGTATTCTCAGGTCATCAATAGACAGGTACCGATGAAGCTTTTGAGAAGATGGAGCACATTCAAGACTCATCTCTTATTTTGATTCATATTTTTGGTGTCTTATAAACTATACAGAACACCCTTGTATTAAAATTATTCTATTAATGCAATGGATGTTGTTGCTTGTTTACTATTACGCATTGTTATGATACTGTACATGACGTCCTCCGCCCCAGAACGTTTCCGTCGTTCTGGTTTTGGGGTGTGACAGATTGGTA